GTACAAACACGTTTGGAACTCGGACGCCGAGTACTGGTTGATGGCCAAGGCGCGGATGCACCACGCGAGCGGGTCGATCCAGTAGATCCAAACGAGGTAGTCGGGCATATCGGCCGACGACATGACAAAGCCCGAAAAGAGGATGTAGAAGAGCACCGACACCATCGAGACGGGCTGTGCGACGTTGAGGTTGGGCGAAATCGACGCGAGAAAGAAGAACCACGTCGTGAACGCGAGGTTGGTCACATACAGGAGGAGGAGGTACGTCAAGAACGCACCAACGCTCGACGTGAAGCCCGTGACCCAGTACATGACCGAGCCAAAGAGGATCGTCTCCAGAAACGCAAACGGCACTTGGGTCGTGCACTGCGCCAAAATGAACGACGACGTGCGGAAGAAATTGGCGCGCTTTTGCTTGTAAAAGATTTCGCGCGCTTCGACGATCGCCGGGATCATGGGCAGCTGCCCGAGCGCGAGGAAGAGGACCGTCATAAAGATGACGCCAAGCACCATGATGATCTGGTCGGCGTTGACTTGGTAGAACGACGTCGAGTAGAGGAAGGCCATGACCAGCACCATGATGATGCGGCTCACGACAAACTCGCGGTTCCGCAGAAAGACCATCACTTGGCGCTGGACTAGCGCTTTCGTGCTCGCCCCAAACGGCACGCGGTACGCCGGCAACGTCGCGAGGTGTGACGTCGCGGCGTCGACAAGCACCGGGTCCGTGGGTGCCGCGAGGTGCGATAGCATCGCGGCAAAGATCGCCGACTCTTTAAAGACTGACGCGTATTCGGCCGGTGTGCGCGGCGTGTGCGCGTCGATGCTGTGGGCGACGAGGTACTGGTCCTGCTCGGGTGTGCCGAGATCGAGAAGAAAGTCGGCGACATCGCGGTGCAAAGGGCACTTGAACCCGAGCGACTCAAAATACGCCAAGCACGTGGCGCGCGGACCATGGTACATGACATGGCCTTCGTTGAGGAGGAGGACATCGTCGAACAGGTTGTAGACTTCGGGCGACGGCTGCAACAAGGCAATCACAATCGTCTTCTTGAGCGACGCGGCCATGCCTTTTTGCGCCTTGACAATGTCGAACGTCGCCGCCGAGTCGAGACCCGTGCTGATCTCGTCCATGAACGACACCATCTTCATGCCAAACTCCATCTCGCCGACCGTCACGCGCTTGCGCTCGCCGCCCGAGACACCGCGGAGCATGCCGTTGCCGACGATCGTGTCTTCGCAGATCTTGAGACCCATCTGGCGCGTGATGATGTCGGGGTAAACATGGTACAAGGACTGGATCACGGCTTTGGCCTGCGCGTTCTCGTCCGGCGAGCCGTGCGTAAGCGAGTCGAGGAGACGGGGCGGCACCGCGGCACCACCGCTGCACGCGTGACCAAAGGCGAGCGTCTCTTTCACCGTCAAGCTTGCGTAATTGAAGTCGCGCTGGCTCACATACGACGCAAACTGCGGCAGCGTGTTGCCAACGACCTCGAGCGCCGCGCCGTTGTATGTGACGTGACCGCCAATCGAAATGTTCTTTTCCATCGGGAAGCGACCCGAGAGGAGCTTCATGAGTGAGGACTTGCCCGAGCCGGGTTGACCGAGCACGAGTGTCGTCGTGCGCGGCTTGAAGACGCCGGTCATCGGATGCAAAATGTCCTTGCGAATCGAACGCTTGGCGCTGAAGAGGCCCATGACCCCCTTCGTGACATCGTTCAACAAGGTCGGGAGTTCGTGGCCGTCCTTGGTCGCCACAGCCATGTCAGCGGCAATCGCGAGGTCCTGGAATCGAATTTCAAGTTGCGGAAGTGTCTTGCCGAGCGACGCTTCGAGCTGCGCCGCCAAGGTGGCGTGGAAGGAGTCCGAGCCGTCCTTGAGCAAGGTGTCTGCCGCGTGTGCCATCGTCAGAGAAAATGGAAAAATGATCTTTTCTGTCAGATCCATGTCGTGTGGACACAAGTATGTTTGCCAGTACGAGGAGCCAACATTGGTAGACGATTCGGTCAGATCGTTATGCCCCCATCGACGCGTTGATGATTAGTACGGCGTAGTTGATCGCGCGAGGAGCTGTATCCGGACAAATGCCGGATACGCAAGCCCAGAGTGACGGTCAATTGGCGGCAACGGTTGTTGGTGTCGAACTCGGTGGAATTCGATGCACTACAACAGACTGATTTGATGGAGCAGACTGCATGTGCCCGTAATCGCTGACTATGGTAGTCATCCCAAATGTTGGTTGGTGCTCCCACCAATCAGATGTGACTAACTACATAACGCCAGACAAAGCTTGCACAAGGGAACATGTAGAGCTCCGTCGCAGTTTTGTCGCCCTGTGAAGTAACACAGCGCATTCAAGCGAATTTAGTATGCAACGTGACCTATACTGCAGTGGTGCATGGATGATGCGAGGTTGGCGCATCGTAAGCGTTCCGCGAACCAATAGCTTGCGATGTCGGTGTCGAAGATCAAAGCGAGCTCCTTTATGGCGGCCGGCGCGCTCTTGCCAAAGCGCTGCTCTTCCACGAGCTTGGCGTGAAGCGCCCGGGGCGACCCGACTTGGGTCACGATCGTGTGAAGATCTCGGAGGAAGCGTCCAGGGATGGAGTACCTCCGCTTCCAGCCTCGGCGGGGCTGACAATTTGTTGCTAACCTCATGGCCCTTCAGATCCCGGAACGCAGTTGACACGAGTGCACTCCTTTGTTGAATTGGAGCAGTCCCAAGTGGAAGCTTACGCAAAAAATGTCTTTGGACAGTTGACCACAAAGGATTCGTGGTTGCTTGGTTTCAGAACGTCGTCGTCGTTTGTTAAATACTTGACGGCGTCCATGGGCGCAGAATATTTACTTTCAGCCAGGCAGTGTTCGTTGAACCGAGTGCCAGTTGGCACTCGACAAGGACGAAATTACACCTCAGCGCACTGTAAAATTGGTCTCTTTGATTATCTTTGTACTGTGTCTTTGACAGAAAAGCCCCTATAGCTCAGTGGTAGAGCGCCTGCTTCGTAAGCAGAAGGTCGGTGGTTCGATCCCGCCTGGGGGCTAAGCTCTTAACTCATTCCGAAATGGTTGAGAGGAAATTTTTTATTGTACTTGCGGTCGAACCGGAATTGCTTTTTGTCAAGCAGAAGAGCTCGAGATGGCAAACGCTTTGCATCGGTAATCTATCTTCGTGTCTCTCGCTCGTTCGGTCGTCGAAAGAGACAGATACCGTCCTTTGCCGATGCACCGGCACGTCGTCATCGTGACTATGAATAGTGCTCGCTCCAGTGCCCCGAATATAATTCGAGACAAATGAACCGTTGACTGGGTCGACGAAACAAGAACCACCTTCAATGATGGAACGCTGAGTTGATAGCCACGCTCACAGACACGCAAATAATGCCGGACCTTAGTATAATAAACGAACAGTGGCAGTAGTCATTGCACATACCAACACCAGTGGCAAGTTGGCTCGGAACCAAATTCACACTCACACGTGCTTCGACTTTCCTCTAAAAGTTGCAATTGCCAATGGACTCTAGCTTGTGTTCTCTTATCGAAGGAAGCGTTCAAGGACCACACCGTCGATGCCAAAAAAATGGGCACCGAATGCCACCACCCATGGAATGTAGTGAGCGATCGGGCCAAGGCCCGCCAGGCTCGTGCTGCAAGCTCTACGCCAGCGGTGGTGTCGATACGTCCCGCTCTCGGTACAAGGTCGACTACTTTTCGCGGCAAGCCGTTACTCGTCCTGGGGCATGGCGACAACCTCTACTGGGACAGCGCAGGGCCAAGCGACATTCAGTATCGCATGCAAGAGGCTGGCGAGTGGTGTACAACCAGTCGGCATCAAGTGGGTCAACGTTGTGGGGAGTCACGACATTGGCGGCTCGGACTTTATTTGCGGCGAGCGAGACAATGCGTATCGCGAGTGCAAGGACACGGCCGAGATGCTCTAGTACCTCAACCTCAAGTTTTCGCTGCAGCAAAGCTACAATAGCCCGAAGGCGGATCGGTGGCTTTTGAAAGATCACTACTACCTCGAGAGTGACGTCAAGGACGGATTCACGGTCGAAATCTACAACGTTGACACCAACTACGCTGAGTCGCACGGTGCAAGCCAAGCCTGCTGCCAGTGCTATGGCTACACGCGCAGAATGGCGTCAATCCCAGCGGCGGTGTCTGCATCAGCGTCGCGCCCGGGAAACTTCTCTGCGTCAACGGCAATGTTGCCTTGTACCAACCGTGCTTGAGCGCGATCGAGGTGTAGGGCCACCAGACTCACTGATCCACGCGGCCAAAGATATCGCGAATGTCGACACAAGTTGCCTTCAAGATGCGTACAATGTACAATGTATCACGCGATAAATAGCGACGGCAGCCTTAGAACGTCTGGTACTCGGCGAGCTCGTCGGCGTGGCGGGCTTCCATGCGCTTGATCTCGTCTTCGCACTCGTCGACTTGTTCTTGGAGCTTCTCGCAGAGGGCCTCAAGCTTCCACTTGTCTATTCACACGTCTCATGACTGCATCCAGACGACGTCGTACCGTCGGTCAAGCTGAGCACTTGGGCCTTTGTCGTCGCGAGCTCGGCCGAGAGCTCGGCGATGCGTTCTTCGTGGGCGGCTTTCAAATCGTGCATTTGTTGCGTCATCTCGGTCACCAGCTTCTTCCGAACACGCACTTCCTGCTGAAAGTGGGCGGCATCCTTGGCCTGGAGCTCCTTCTGCAGCGCCTGGTTCTCTTCGCGCAGCAGTGCCAGCTCAGGGCTCTTGGACTCGGCAGCTGCCACCGACTTGCGGGGCAGAAGGGTCACACGCGCAGGCGCTCGCTTGAGCATCTTCTTCTTGACCAAGACAGCTTTGTCATCCTGCGTGGTGTTGGGCGGTGCGTTTTCGGTCATGCGGGCTGGCATCGACGGCCGCTTGCGCTTCTTGTGCCCGTCTGTGTCGTACTCTTGCTTGGCCACCGACTTGCGCGCTCGGATCGGCGCTGTCACGACGTCCTTGGCGATCGCGCCATACTCGAGCGTCCGAAGCGTCTCTTCAAACTCCAAGTTGGACGGGTTCACAGCCACGATCATGATGATGCGCCCGGCCCGCGTATGGCCGCCGACCAGCGACTCTTGAAAGAGCTATGTAGATACACGTTGCTACTAGCCTTTGACAAGATGAATCAAGCGTACGCGTGTGAGCTTGGACGACCGGAACGGCACGGGGCGCTTCGCCTTGGGGTTTTGCTGGTTCCAGCGCAGCGTCTCGAGGCATTGGTTGAGGTTCATGAGCGACTTGTTGATGTTGCTCGCTTCTTGGAGACGGAGGCCCGACGCGCCAGTCTTGGCGCCACGCTCGCAGCCCGCCAGGTCGACAATGGAGATCTGCAAACGCCGTGTTGAACGCCTAGATAACCCTCGGAGTGCTACCTTGCTCCACAAGCGACTGGGTTCGCTCTTGCGGTAGATTTGCAGCGAAAAGACGCAGTGGCTGCGGCTGGAGTCCGTGTTGCAGCGGGTCTCGGCCACTTGGCGGTTCTTTTGGCCGTACTCGAGCGTCGCCTTGGCGTCGTCAAAAGAGAGAATCCGGCGCTCCTCGAGGTCCTTGACGTGCACGCGGCCGTCCTTCTCCTGCAGCTGGAGGAATGCTCGCCTACGCCGACCCTTGGTACGATATTCCAGGTAACAAGGCAGTGTACTTGGGGTTGGCGGGCGCCATGAGGTCGTAGACCTTTTCGTTGTAAATCTCGAGGTACGACGCCGTGACGTCATAGTCGTCGGTGTGCTGGAAGAGGTACGCAAAGGTCTCGGGGAGGATGCCCGGGTTCTCGTTGCTGCCTACAATAGCCGGCTCGTGAGGCGTCGATGCACCGAGAAAGGGTGTGTACCAAGGATCGTGTACGTCTTGCCCGAATTGGTCACGCCGTACGCAAAGACGAGGCCGTTCTTGCCGTCGAGTGCCTCCTCGACGATCGACTGCGTCGTCTTGGCGAAGAGCTCCTGCTGCGTCGTCTCGGGCCGAAACACTTGGGAAAAGTGGAACGTGACCACGGATTCGTTCAGCCGGCTCACCTAGCACGACGCATGAGGCGACGACGCAGCGAGTGGCTTCTAAGTACTCGAGGCGTCGTGGCCACAAGGCACGTGTCCGAGACGACGCGGAAGACGTCGGCGGCGTCCATGGCCGGGCGCAAGCGGACGTAGATCTACAGGACGGTCCTTGGTCGTGATGGCCTCATGGGCTGGGCGTCTACCTGGACTTTGTCGACAGGCTTCTTCGGCGCGGTCGGCGTCGGCGGGCCATAGCTCAGCCGGCGCTGGGTCTCGGCCTCGGCAGCGGTCGGTCCGGACAAGTCCATGGCACACGCGCCGTGGTCAATTTGAAAATTCAAGAGGGTGCCACCGGATACGAGAGTGGTATCCGAAATCTGTGCCGCGATCGTAAATTCGGCATATGCCGCGAAATCGTGTGCCGCTTCCCACGATTCGAGTCACAACGCAGTACGAGTTGGTGTGATTTCCGTCAGTCAATGCGTTTGGGCTCTTGTCGACTTCTTTGAGAGTACGTAGCAGTGCAGGCGCAAGTTGACCACGAGATAGATCTTGATTCGAGTCCCAGAGAAAGCCTCACTTTTCCACAGTTGCCACGAAATGAATCGAGATGACTCAGGTCAGGCGGTATATTACCGGAATTACCCAATGGGTGTCGTTCTTCGAAGTGGTCCATCGACAAGCTACTTGATCGACCTACGATCCTTGATTTCTTCCCACTACTCCCGCGCGGTCAGGCCTCGGCGGAGCACGAGCTGGGGAGACCAATCGATGCACCGGAGGGCCACGTTGGCGCTTTCGCGGCCGTGAGCCAGACCCGTGTTGCGTAGCTCCACTTGGATGCGACCTTGGGCCAACCTGGAGCTGCAGCACCCGAAGGTACACGGAGCGTTCTCACTTGAATTCGCGGGCTGAGATGACTCATCTCTACGGTGTATTCACGTCTAGGACATTCTGGTCGAATCATACCATTATAGCCAACACTGGATCACACATTTGTCCATTCGAAAACGACAAGCTCCGTGGTATCGCAGACCTCTTCGTCCTAGAACGTGGGTACCGATACTTGATGCAATTGGATCAATTGTGAGCAGAGTTCAAGATACCCGGAACGTTGGTGTACAGTGTACTATGCATGACTGCTGACTGATTGCCAATTCTAAATCTGGCGCAAGCGCGCCGCCGTTTCGCTTCGTACAGCGCGAAAGCCTCCATCTCCTAGCATTCATTCGTCGCTGACGATGCCGCACGACTCATCCCGCTCCAGCACGCATCGCAACTCGTGGATCACCAGTAGCACGCCGTCAGCCGACGCCAAGAAGCGCGCTTCATTCAAAGTCTGGTCACGGCTCCTCGCTAACCTCACGGCCTACATCACGGTCGCGATCTCCTTGTCCTCGAGCGTAGTCGCTCTTGGCACTGGAGCATTGAACCGACGGCTCCTCTTCTATAGCGCGGCAAACGACGTCTATCGCCCGCTCTCGCAGACGTGTCGTCTGACGTCGAGTGGGTTTGCCCCCAACTCGTGCTCGCGTGACGAGTGGAGCTTACTTGCGACGCCCGCTGCGTGGATCGCAACCGGCAACCAGCTCGCACACCTCCTTGATGTCCCGCCGGCATCAACGCTCTACGTCACAACGTGCGTCGTCGGCTGCAATGACAAGTCCTCTGCGTCGGTCCAGCTGCTCATGGGCTACAACAGCTATCCAGAATGCAACCCAAAACACGGAGGTCAGCCCATCGCTGGTCTTGTTCTCCTCGAAGGCGCTACTGTCGACGAAGTCTACCCCCAAGGCGCGTACCTTCTGACGGTTTTTGCAGACGCGTCAATGAACCAAACGACCATGTTTGTCGACAGCGACGACATTGAAACGCGTGTCGTTGACAACGTCGCGCGAGTCCTCGTCGGTGTCGATGGGAGCTCGCAGACGTATGCGGATGGCGCCAACGCCATTTTGCGCTCGACGCCGCTCGGTGCGCACTACGGTATCGAAGCGTCGTGCACGGCACAGATCGCCGACGTATCAACAAAGGTGCAAGGCCAGCCAGGCTGGAGCTATGGTGAGCATTCGAAAATTGCTGTCGTCACGGGCAAGGCGTGTGGACATTCGGTCGCGAATGCGTTGGAGATTGAGTTGCTGCTGGCGCTTGCGTTTGTCGTGACGCTTATTGGGTGCTCGGCCGACATCGTCACGACGATCCAAGGAGTCCGTGGCGTCCTGCAGCAAAAGCCCGTGCTCACCTATGACTTCATCTCGAGCTTGGAGCGACGCCGTGGCCTCCTTGGCATCGGCATTTGCAATGTGTACCCAGCGGCCATCTATCTCGACGTCGGTCGGCTCTATGACCCGTCGTCAGCATATGGAAAGCTCGTGTGGTTTTGCGCTGCCAACGTCGTCGCCATGCTCTTTGCGTGGGGTACATTGTGGCTTAGCTTTTTCATCTCGTCCATTCCGAGTCCACGACCACTGCTACGCTATCGGCTGATGCCAAGATCCGCCTCGGTGTTTCTCTACACGAGTCTTTTCGGCATCTTCTTGGACGTACTTTCTCGGCACGAGATATTGTTCTCCAATACAACCGCCTCTAACACGCTCACATTGCACTTGGACGGGCAAGACTGTCCATGCGGTGCGTATGCTACCGCTTCGATTCCGCCGGCAATTCACAACGTACTGCCGGCCATCTTGACTTGGCTTGCCGTCTCGTATCTTGCGAGTGTGGTCTTCGGCGTCTGCAAACTGCGGTTCTTCCGAAACAAGTGGCTTCTCGACGCGAAATGGACCAAAGACAACGTCTTTATCAAGGTCTGCGGTGCTCCGCACTGGACGACAACGCTGCCGTTCGACACGGCTGACACGGTGCGCATTGGGTATCGACTCTTTTGCAAGCCCAACATGGTAGCCCGCTTGGGCTTTGCAGCGTTCTCTGCCAAGCCAGCAGCCCAGCACGTGCTCGCAGAAGGCTGCGCGAAAAGTAGTGATATCGACGTGGTCTACCTCGTTAGCATCTATGACTTTTTTCCAGCGCTCATCCCACCCCGCTGGCGAACGTACGCGCCCAAGATCCTCGGAGAGATCAAGAGGAACGACCTTCAACCGCCCAGTTCACGGCGTCTCGCGCCGTCCAAGCAGTATATCTCGACGCGAGGGTCGTGCGTCGGATAAGCCGTCGGATACAACATATCCGTTCCTATGCTGCTTTTGGTACCAGAGGTCCAAACGCTGGAGCAAGTGCATACTCTGGGCGCTCTGGTGATTTGTGCGCATTTTTGGTTTCATCAAGTGTCATGCCGAAAATAAAAATGTGGCAATGTGGCAAATGCGTATCCGGAAATCGAGCGTTTGGATCCGGAGGATGGCTTTTGGCGCGGACCGGTCACAGGACAGCGCGGGCCATGGACGAGTACGACGAAGTCGATGAGTGGGAGATGATGTATGGCGGGGACATGGAGGCCGCCAACGAGCTCGCCGCCATGGAGGACGAGCCCCCGCGGGCGCCAGCCCCAGCATCGGTGGCCGCCATCGCCCCGACGCAACCTGTGGTCCTGGACAGCGACGACCCGATGGGCGAGCCGCCGGTCGTCGCCCACGCGGTCCCGCGTGCAGAGAAGGCGCATGCACCTCAGCATCTTCCAGATGACAAGTACGTCCTCAAGCGACCGGCCCTCGATGTGCGCAGCGTCCCCGTCGTCCTCGCGTCGGGCGAGCGCGTCTTCCTCCGCGCCAAGCAGCTGGACGAGGCGCCAACTTTGCTCGAGAAGGAAGATAAGGCCAAGCTACAGTGGAAGCTCGGCGTGCCCATCAAAGAGATGATGACCAGCATTGAACAGGTATGGCATCCTACCTGTCAAGCTCCGCCTCATGGCTTGTGAGTAGCGCAAGGTGCAAGCGGTCGTCGACGCCGACGATATGGACGCTAAAGATACGTCGCCAAGCACGCACCACGACGAGCTTTGGCTCAACAAGTACCGCCCCAAGCACTTTATCGACCTCCTCAGCGACGAACGGACGAACCGCGACGTGCTCGGCTGGCTCAAGTCCTGGGACCCATGCGTCTTCAAGACCAAGCCCAAGCCATTGCCCAAACCCGCGTTTCGCTTTGGCGAAGCGTCGGCGCCCGAGCCCGAGCCGTCCGATGACATTCGCCCCGAGCACAAGGTGCGTACATCGCAACGTTGCATTTGCATTCCATGCAAGTGTAGATCATCTTGCTTTGCGGGCCGCCGGGTGCAGGCAAGACGACTCTGGCAGGGATCGCCGCGCGTCATGCTGGCTACAACCCTATCGAAGTCAATGCGAGTGACGACCGCACGGCCAGCGTCTTGCGCGAAAAGGTCCATTCGACGCCTCCTCTTGCCGTATGGTTGACGCTGGCGGCGTTAGATCATTAGTGCCATGGAGATGCAGTCCATCTTTGGGAATGCGCGGCCCAACTGCATCATCCTCGATGAGATTGACGGCGCCTTGCACGGCAACGAAGGCCGCGGCGCGATAGCTGCGCTCCAAGATCTCATCGCTGTGCCCTACTCGACCAAGAAGAAGGACAAGTCGTCCAAGAAAAAGAGCGACCACCCACTCATTCGGCCCATCATTTGCATTTGCAACGACCAGTACGCGCCTGTGCTGCGGCCGCTGCGGAAGCTCGCAAAAATCTTTGTGCTCGGAACGCCCGACCCGCGCCAGCTCATGTCGCGGCTCAAGTTTATCTGCAAGAAGGAGCACCTCGAGGGACCGACGTCGGTTCTCTCGACGCTCTGCACGCGCGCCGACAACGACGTGCGCTTCTGCCTCAACTCGCTTCAATTTGCGAGCGCCAAGACCAAGCAGGTCACGCCCACCATGATCGAAGACATAATGGTATTCTCCATTCTGCTTCGTATGATGCGTTACAACGGATGATATAGGGCCGAAAAGACTTGAGCAAAGGCGTCTACGATGTGTGGGACGTCGTTTTCTACGAACCGCGGCAAAAAAAGAAGGAGACCAAAGCGACCGGCTTTGCCCGCGTGTTTGAAGCCGCCGACCGCTTTGGCAGTCCTGACCTTGTCTTGAACGGTCTCCACGACAACATGTTGCAGCTTGTCTTCAACGACCCGACCATGTACACCTACCCCTCGTTGTTGTAGATTGACTTTGACCTCTGTGCTTAGGACCAAACTGCATGACGCGCTCGAGTGGATGGAGTTTGCCGACTTGTGCGAATCACGCATGCGGTCGCACCAGCAGTTTGCGCTCTTGGCGTACGCAGCGATCCCAGCCGTCGCCGTCTCGTATGCGTGCTGCACGGGCGCGCGGCGCCGCATCGAGTACCCCAAATCCCACTACGACGTACGTCTCGTCTTGTCGATTCGCCAAGGACTTATGAAGCGCCTATCGTAGCACCGCCGGACACTGGAGAAGTCGCAGAGCATTCTGCAAGCCACCGTGGACGCAAACCCGTCGTTCCGCGTCGGGGCGCGCGTGCTGGCGCTGGACGTCATGCCGTTTCTGCTGCGCATTCTCAACCCGTTGATTGCGTCGCCCAAGGACGAGAAGCGCCAAATGGACCGTCTTGTCGCGCTGCTAGCGTCGCTCCACGTGTCGTACCGGCCCCTGCATCTCCCGGGTGGCATCACCGACTATGTCCTTGAACCGTGCGCTCTCTTTTGTATCGTATCCATCGACCAACACATTATGTACGCTAGGGCCATCCATGAACTAGTCCAGTACAAACACTTGGAGTCGGCGCGATCGCTCTTGCCCATCTCGATGCGGCAGCAGTTGGCCCGCGAAGTCGAGCTCGAGACCCTTCGCCGCGCTGAAAAGTCCGACCGGTTCCAAGAGGTGCCGACAACACCGACGAAAACAACGACGACGACAAGAACCATGGCGCCAACCACCGTGCTGCCACTGTCGCCCGTGGCGGCGCACCCGTTTGGCTATAAGAAGCGCAAGCGCCAAGACGACGTGACCGCGACACGCAAGCGGTACATCTCTATATATTCACCCTGTGGATCCTGAGACTCGTATTCAACTATGGTAGATGCCCCGTCCGGTTCAAGTTCAACGAAGGCTACACGAGTGGCATCAAGCGCCCCGTGCTCGTCCAAGACTTGTTGTAGTCGGCTCTTCGTCACTGTATCTGCTATATCTCAAGAGACCTCTTCGCTCTCGTATCGCATTGCATGTTGTGCACCGCAAGACGATCCATCGCACTTCTTGCTCGAGTGTACAAGACAACGTCTAACAGAGGTTCTGGTGATTTTGTCATACTAACTTAATCTCTTCTATCGACTACGCTCCTCGACTAGTTCACTTCGTACTGGTGAGACTGCGAGTACAACTTTGCACTACAGCGAGTCTGTTGCATCGATATACACTCAAACGGCCAGCATTATTGAGGCGGAACTGTCATTCTTGGCCGCCTTTTCTGCGACGAAACAGTCGCCAAGAGGCAGCCGAGATGGCGCGCGATGCGACTGTGACCATCGACGCCGTGCACCGACGCAGCGTAAGCAACAACAACTACGAAGGGCGCAAGAGCATTCGCAAGTCGGTGGTTGCCCCCGAGGCCGCGCACGAACCTCACTACGACGACAAGGCCGACTCGATGGTCGGTAACCCCGAAGTCGACGCGCCGGAAGAATCGTCGCCGCCGCCAATCAAATATCGGCCGTCTTACAGCCGGCCGTACGACCTGCCACCGCCCAAAGCACCTCTGCCAAAGGCAATACAGGGTCTTGGCCCGCGCGTCAGCTCATGGATTTGACGTAGCGGGTCGTCGCGACAAGCGAAAAGAGTTCCACCGACGACGACGGACCAAGGACCATTGTCAACGCGCACTCACGGACGCTCTTGGAATTAAAAAGGCGCAAGCCGTCGCTCGTGGACCCGAGCTTGAAGGTCGAGGACCGGTAAGGATACACCAAGTCTCCATCTCTTTTTCGAAGTCTCTAAATCGTAGGCTGCAGCAATTGGGGCTCGTCTACGCCCAAAAGCAAGCCTCCAAGCAAGCCATCAATGCAACGCACCAGTGTACGTTTACGCCGGCCATTTCGTATCACTCGTCCAAGCTCTCGCGCCACGGCAGCGTGCACGACCGCCTCTATGGCCTCGCCAAGGCACCGACACGAGCACCCGATGCGGCATCAACCACAGCCTCTCCAGCAAAGCCAGCCACATCCAATACAGCAACGTCGGCGGGCGAGCGACTCTACCGAAAAGCCCGTGAATTCCAGGTCAAGCAGGACGCAGTCCGCGCCGCTGAAGCCGCGGAAGCCGCTTCACTGCGCGTACGATATACCTCCTTTGCCTGTTCCCCGGTCCGAATACGATGGGATTAGAATGCGCGCAAAATGAGCGCCAAGAGTCTCCGCCTCGTGGAGCGTAGTACCAAGCCGCCCCAGCCTGTGCCGACGTCCGCATCAAGTCCACCGGCTCGCACCAAGCAAGTGACGACCGCCCAAGCACGCGCCATCTACGACCGTCAGCTGCAGTGGAAGGAAGCCAAGGACGCGAGAAGCGCTCGCATCCGGTGGCAACAAGATCGGGACGAGCAGCAAGCGTGCACGTTCCAAAACCCGTACGCCGACATGGCGACGCCGCCGCTGCACGATGCGTCGTTCTTTGACAAAGCGATCGAATGGGCCAAGGCCAAGGACGCGGTGGTGCGCCAGAAGCAGCAAGCCCGCCAAGCAGAGGAGCTCGCAGCCTGTCCGTTCAAGCCACAGCGGCCACCGCGGCCGCGCCGAAGAGACCCGAGCGGTCTCGAAGCCATCATTGCGACGTTCCAAGCGGTACTTTCACTGGTATGACGAAGGCCCTTATTTGTGAGTAGGAACACTATGCGCACGCCCCACTGCCAACGTTGCGGATGAAATGGTACTTGATGTCGATGTGCTTGGCTCGCGTGGACGATACTTGGTCTTCCATCGTCTTGAGTGCGCTTTGGTTGTCGACCCACAGGTTGACCGGCTCCTTGGTCTTGATCATCTTGATCTCATTGAGTAGTTGCTTGATCCAGAGGGCTTCTTGCGTGCCGGTGCATGCGCCGATGTACTCGGCTTCCATGGAGGCGCTTCAAGGCATAGCAGTCAGTCGTGTTGTGAGTGTCACGCCTGCAGCGCTCGCACCACATTTGTCGAGGATTCGATGGCGTTGGAGACGTGTCCGACGGCTTGTCGTCGTCGCCGCCACCGCCGCGGCTGCCGCGATTGCGCGGGGTAGGTGTGGTGAAATGGGTATGCGCATGCTTGGGCGTCTTGTAGCCCACGCCGGTTCCGACTTCGTGCGTGAGGTACGTGATGACGTTGTTGAGCTTCCGGAAATCGTTCCACTCATTGTCAAAGCCGAGGGCCAGCTTCATTGTTTCTGCTCGCTCGGGGCACGCATGGTTTACAAAGTAACGGATGACCATGGGAACCGGGAGCTGGAACTGCCGTTGGACGTGACGGTAAAACCGTAGGTGAGCGAGCCACGACGTCGATACGGGTTTGGGAGCCTTGAGGAGTTCGGCAGCCTGGTTTGGCGAGAGAAGCGACTTGAAGGTGCGTCCGAGCCGAATGACGAGGTCGTAGTAGCCAAACGTGCGGCCTTCAAGTGCGACGTCGTCGTGCCACTCGTCTCGTTAGTGGTTGTAGCATTCGAGAGCTTCGCCGCTGAGCTTTTGTATGAGAGCGCCGCGTCGTTGATCGTCGTTCCACTCGTGGTCGGGGAGACACGCCTTGTTGTGAGCAATGGCGTCTTCGAACGAGCGGAGCCAAGATGGAAAGTCGCTGCCGAGGCCGGGGTACGTCTCTTGACCTGAAAATTCCTTGCACTTGAGGTTCCAGTCGGAGCTGGATGAAGATCGGGTCGGGGTGGGTGGGACATACGGCGGGTAGCCTGGCGGGTTTCCCGGGGGATTCCCAGGCGGGTGTCCTGGCGGGTTGCCTGGCGGTTCGCTGTAAACCGATCTGCTCCCCATGGACGCGTCGCGTTGAGCTTGCTCTTGCATTTGGCGAATCTCGTCGTCGAGTTGTCGTGCACGAGCAGTCGCTGCTTGAGCTTCATGTTGGGCTGAGAGTCTTTCGGCTTCAGCGTTTTGGGCTCGTGCTATCGCGGCGTCTCGCTCGGCTTGGATTCTGTTTGCGGTTGCGGCGACGCGTTCGCGTTCCATAGCGATGGCGCGGGCGACGGCGTCCGCTTGCTCTTTGGATCGTCGTTTGTCATACGCAAGTCGTTCTTGGCGCGCTTGATCTGCGGCGGTGGCCTGATCTTGGCGTGCGCGTTCAATATGATCGTGCACTGCTTGTCGGTCGCGGTCGCTTTGGTCTTTTAGTTCCTTCATGTACGCTTGCGATTGTGCGGCTTGACGTTGACGCTCTTCGGCGTACTTCTCCTCTCGGCGTTGCTCGTCGAGCACTTGCTGTGTGCGCGTCTGCTCTTCATAGCGTCGTCGATCTTCGTCTCGGCGTTGCTCGTTTTCGCGCATTATCTCTTCGAGACGGGCTTGCTGCCGTGCAACAACTTCGTCGAGACGGGCTTGCTGTCGTGCGAGAGCTTCTTCGTGACGGGCTTGTTGCCTTGCTAGAGCTTCTTCGACGATCTTGGATGTTGACGTCGGTGTTGGTGGTTTTTGCGGGGTTGGTGCCGCCGCTGGCTCGACCTTGATCTTGATCGAGTCCATGTCGTTCTCCGATCGAGGTGAAACTGATCGCTTCCTCGTGCCGGGTACTCGCGTGCTCTTCTCGACTTCAAGGCTCGCGGCTCTCGTCCGGGCGGCACGATCCTTCTGGCGCAGCCTGCTCCGTGACGGTCTTTCTTCGGGCTCGTTGGTATGCTCTTGTTGCATCCACGGGTCCCGGCTTCCTGGATCTTGCGACGTTCGTCTAGCAGTGTTGTCCTGGAGTGGTTTCGGAGAGTATGATCTTGGTCGGTTGGTTTTGCGCAACGCGACCTTTGGGGCGCCCTTCATCTTGTAACTGCTCCCTTCGTGGCTACGGTTTGGAGGGCCGTCGCCGCGGGTTCTGACGTCGCTGCTCTGTCGCTCGCTTGGTGTTGCGGCCGGCGCTGGCGTCGAGTTGTTGGGCTCATGTGCTCGGTTGCGATTCCGGCACGGTCGAGTGTGGTCGATCGTAACCCCAGATGAAGCCCTTGGGCTCATAACCTGTTGGAAGACCCACCTTGGGGCTGTCGCCACACTCATGACTCGTACAGTCGGTGAAATGTAGAGTGATATTTATAGTCTTTAGCTATCTTGTAGTAAGTGCAATATGCAACTTCCAACACTTCTTGCTAGAGTGCACAAGACAACGTCTGTTGTGCACCGCAAGACGATCCATCGCACTTCTTGCTAGAGTGCACAAGACAACGTCTAACAGAGGTTCTGGTGATTTTGTCATACTAACTTAATCTCTTCTATCGACTACACTACACCACTGCACTACAGCGAGTCTGTTGCATCGATATACACTCAAACGGCTCGCAATACTGAGGCGGAACTGTCATTCTTGGCCGCGTTTTCTGCGACGAAACAGTCGCCAAGAGGCAGCCGAGATGGCGCGCGATGCGACTGTGACCATCGACGCCGTGCACCGACGCAGCGTAAGCAACAACAACTACGAAGGGCGCAAGAGCATTCGCAAGTCGGTGGTTGCCCCCGAGGCCGCGCACGAACCTCACTACGACGACAAGGCCGACTCGATGGTCGGTAACCCCGAAGTCGACGCGCCGGAAGAATCGTCGCCGCCGCCAATCAAATATCGGCCGTCTTACAGCCGGCCGTACGACCTGCCACCGCCCAAAGCACCTCTGCCAAAGGCAATACAGTCTCTTGACCCGCGCTCCAGCTCATGGATTTGACGTAGCGGGTCGTCGTGACAAGCGAAAAGAGTTCCACCGACGACGACGGACCAAGGACCATTGTCAACGCGCACTCACGAACGCTCTTGGAATTAAAAAGGCGCAAGCCGTCGCTCGTGGACCCGAGCTTGAAGGTCGAGGACCGGTAAGGATACCAAGTCTCCATCTCTTTTTCGAAGTCTCTAAATCGTAGGCTGCAGCAATTGGGGCTCGTCTACGCCCAAAAGCAAGCCTCCAAGCAAGCCATCAATGCAACGCACCAGTGTACGTTTACGCCGGCCATTTCGTATCACTCGTCCAAGCTCTCGCGCCACGGCAGCGTGCACGACCGCCTCTATGGCCTCGCCAAGGCACCGACACGAGCACCCGACGCGGCATCAACCACAGCCTCTCCAGCAAAGCCAGCCACATCCAATACAGCAACGTCGGCGGGCGAGCGACTCTACCGAAAAGCCCGTGAATTCCAGGTCAAGCAGGACGCAGTCCGCGCCGCTGAAGCCGCGGAAGCCGCTTCACTGCGCGTACGATATACCTCCTTTGCCTGTTCCCCGGTCCGAATACGACGGGATTAGAATACGCGCAAAATGAGCGCCAAGAGTCTCCGCCTCGTGGAGCGTAGTACCAAGCCGCCCCAGCCTGTGCCGACGTCCGCATCAAGTCCACCGGCTCGCACCAAGCAAGTGACGACCGCCCAAGCACGCGCCATCTACGACCGTCAGCTGCAGTGGAAGGAAGCCAAGGACGCGAGAAGCGCTCGCATCCGGTGGCAACAAGATCGGGACGAGCAGCAAGCGTGCACGTTCCAAAACCCGTACGCCGACAAGGCGACGCCGCCGCTGCACGATGCGTCGTTCTTTGACAAAGCGATCGAATGGGCCAAGGCCAAGGACGCGGTGGTGCGCCAAAAGCAGCAAGCCCGCCAAGCAGAGGAGCTCGCAGCCTGCCCGTTCAAGCCACAGCGGCCACCGCGGCCGCGCCGAAGAGACCCGAGCGGTCTCGAGGCCATCATTGCGACGTTCCAAGCGGTACTTTCACTGGTATGACGAAGGCCCTTATTTGTGAGTAGGAACACTATGCGCACGCCCCACTGCCCTACCCGTGGGAAGCCTACACCGATGCCTCGGGCAACGACTATTACTACAATCCCGCCACCGAGACAACCCAGTGGGGTCGCCCGACATAGCACTCACAGCATGCAATACACGATATTCGCCATTTGCTTACTTGGGCGCGACTGTGTTGAGGCCAAAGCCCTTGATCGTCTGGAGGAACGTGGTTTCGAAGGGCATGAGTTGCACCTAGCACCTTTGTGACGAATGATGTAGGGATAGGGTTGCTGGCGTACCTCGGTCTGGCGGAGCGAGATGATTTGGCGCATGACGTCAATGTACTTGAGGGCGAGGAGGTAGCGCAGCGGGTCTTCGCCGCTGCGGGTCACGACCTTGGAAATCTACACTCGATGGTGAGCGCTATCGACTGGAAAGAAGAAGCGAGATGACCTCCTTGATACTGCGGGCTTCGGCGTTGGCCGCGTTGACGATCGCTTGCGCTTCACCACGCGCTACGAGCGACAAGATGAGCGAAACGAAGGCGAGACAGGCGTGTACCGCGGGAGAGCGCTTGCTGGGCCTCGCCTTCCGACTCTTTGATCATGCGGTCGCGGTTGCCTTCCGAGTTGATGACGGTCGTTTGCTTGGACGCCTTGGCCTGGATGATGATTTCCTTGTTGTTGAGATCGGCCTGCTTCTTGGCGGCGAGCACTTGGCTGAGGCGACCCGCGTCAACCCGCTGGATCTTGACCATCGAGATCTTGACGCCATATTGTACAGACGCGGCGTCCATGAGACCCGAGACGCGGTCCATCTGCGCCGTGTCTTCAATGATCTGGTCAACGTCGAGCGAGCCGGCGACGTTGCGGATCTGCGCTTGAAGCAACACGCTAAGCAGGTGCGGGAGGTTCTGCACCGAGTAAATGTACGTCTTTGGGCTCGTGATCGAGTACTGAAGCACGGCGTCGAGGAAGATGGCCGCGTTATCGCGCGTAATGACCGGCTGCTTGGGGAAGTCGAGGACCTCGTTTTGCGTCGAAATCGTCGAGAGATTGCGCTTGTCGACAAGCGTCAAGCGCGAATTGACGTCGACAATGTACTTTTGGTGGTGCGTCCGGGGCGCGTCCACGAACGGGATGATGACGTGGAAGCCGGGCGTGAGGATCGTGTGGAAGCGGCCGAAGCGCTCGACGACCATGACCTCCTTCTCCTTGATGATCTTGACGCCCTTGGAGATGACGAGGAGCACGAGCAGCACCGCGACGGCGACGGGCAGGACGATCGCAACAGTGTCCATGCTCGTTTGACAGACCAAATTGCACTTTGAGTTTCGCGTACTTTTTAGTTTATTTTATTGCATTTTATTTTAATATTTTTTATTTTGCATTCGGACCTCCCGGCGCAGGGCCGTGACGGCGACGACATAGCGATTTCGACGGTAAGTGCGTAGCAGAGACTGCACCGATATGTTATCTACTGCAGCGCACCGAGTGGACAGGACAACAGCGGGAAAGGGAGGTTTAGAGACTGCCATCGACCCCGAGACGGCAACGGGACCACCGTTTGACAGCAACGAAATTCGAATTAAAATTCACGCGGCCAGTGCGAGAAAAACGCTGATTGGACAGCGGTAGCGAACATCGTAGTGAAATAGCGAAGTTCGAAGCATGGGAGAAATAGCTTTGTCCCAACGAAGATATAAGGGAGGACAGGATCGGCCGTGCGATGGTGCTGTCGTGCGGTGCCCGTAGGAGGAAGGACCTCGTGCATGCGAGCCGATGCATAGTGCAGTCGTTGCGGCGGCGGTGCCATCGCGTGGCGAGGAGGAGCCTGATTCTACGAGATCGCTCAGCGCCGGATACGTGTGTGTATCCGGAAGATAGGTAAATCCCAGAGGCATGTTTTGCCCACGTTCGATTCAAACGATGGCAACCGAGGTGGCATCTGTGGACGGTGGCGCAGCCAAGGCGACGTGGAGCGTGAAGCGGACGCGCGAGCTCTTCGCGGCTGAGACCGAGGCCTTTGACGTCGACGAGCAGAGTCAGCAGACGCACATCCAGGTCAAGTTCCGGGCGCGGTATGCCAACGTGCCCGAGATCAAACCGAGCCAGCTCAAGAAGGCCAAGGGTGCGACGGTCGCCACAAACATCCCGGCGCCGGTCGTCGCCGAGACCATCGACACGGTAGCCGACGAGGCTCCTGCGCTCGACGCCAATGACGAGACGGCCGATGTGGTTGGCAAGGCCGTCGAAGCCCTCGCCAAGCAAGAGGCGGCGGCGGCAGCTGCCAACCCGACCCACAACTCGGCGCTCGTCGAGTACAAGAAGGAAACGACGTTTAGTGCACAGTTTGCCTCGTCGTCGTCGACGGCCCTCGTGCGCCGCCGCCTCGCACAGGAGGTGCCCAAGCCGCAGTGGCACGCGCCGTGGAAGCTCAAGCGCGTAATTGCGGGGCACCTCGGCTGGGTCCGGTCCGTGGCCGTCGACCCGACGAACGAGTGGTTTGTCACGGGCTCGGCCGACCGCACGATCAAGGTGTGGGACCTTGCGTCCGGCCAGCTCAAGCTCACGCTGACCGGCCACATCAATGCGATCCGCGGCCTCGCCGTCAGCGACCGCCATCCGTACCTCTTTTCGTGCTCGGAGGACAAGAAGGTACTGTGCTGGGACTTGGAGTACAACAAGGTCATCCGCAGCTACCACGGCCACCTCTCGGGCGTCTTTAGCCTCAAGTTGCACCCGACGCTCGATGTGCTCGTGACGGGCGGCCGCGACGCCGTCGCGCGTGTCTGGGATATGCGCACGAAGCAGCAGATCCACGTGCTCTCGGGCCACCAAGGCACGGTGTGGTGCCTCGAGACGCAGCCGACGGACCCGCAGATCCTCTCGGGCGCGGCCGACGGCACGGTCAAGCTCTGGGACCTCGCGGCCGGGAAGGCCATGACGACGCTGACGAACCACAAGAAGGCGGTGCGCGCGATGGCGTGCTCGCCGAACGACCACTCGTTCCTCACGGGCGCGGCCGACAACCTCAAGAAGTGGCAGACGCGCGACGGCAAGTTTTTGCGCAACCTCTCGGGGCACAACGCGATCATCAACGCCGTGTGCATGAACCAAGACAACGTGGCGGTCTCGGCGGCCGACAATGGCACGATGCGCTTCTGGGACTACACCACGGGCTACAACTTCCAGAAAGAAGCCACCATCGTGCAGCCCGGGTCGCTCGACTCGGAGGCCGGCATTTACGCCGCGACCTTTGACAAAACGGGGCTGCGGTTGATTACGGCCGAGGCCGACAAAACCATCAAAATCTGGCAGGAAGACGCGACCGCGACGCCCGAGTCGCACCCGATCGACATGTCGGGCTGGACCAAGGAGTTTACGGCGCCCAAGCGCTTTTAATCGAGTATTCCTACTACTATATGCATGCATTGACGACGTTTCCGCCCTTCTTTATGCATTGCTTGGTAGTCAAATACGGCGTTCTCGACTGGTGCTGGGAAATTTACTAGTATCAAGGCCATCAACTTTACCTTGCAAGTATGTGCACTGTGGACGCAGGCACTCGGTAGATGGGGTCGCCAGTTTGTCCATGGGACATGGCCGATTCGTGTTTTCCACCTAACCCTAATCGCTACTGTTGTACTAACAGTGTACACAATATTGTACTAAAATAATAATGCTTCGGTAGAACCCATGCCACTTGGAACCTTAATTAATTGAAGCTTAGGACTCTTCCTTCTACGAGTGAACATGGCACTCTCTACAATTCTACTATCTACAATTCTACTAACTACTAACTGCACTCCAACTCTTCTACTATCGAATCGATGAGGTGACTAGAGCGGGCCGTAGCGCGACGTCGGCTCGATCGTGTACTTTTGAATGTTGCTGTCGAGCTGGAGCGCGGCCGACCGCTTGTAATGACTCTCTCGCTCGGCCAAGAGCAGTGCGTCGTCTAGTCATGCATGAGGACTATGGTCCATTCGACACTAGTGGATACCTTTGGTGTCGAGCTGCGTGATCGCGTACGCTGTATCCAGGGCTGAGAGAAAGCCGCGGTTGATGCCCAGCCCTTGCGGCCAGAAGGGCTCCATGAGCGCATCGCCGACAAGCGCGACGTAGAGCTTGGCGGCACCGTTTGTAAGCACGTCGGACGCCTAGTTCGACATGAGGTCCAGGGTTCGAACCCTTCAAACGTGTACCTTTTCCGCCCGCAGCGTGCGGCTAAAGTCAAAGACGTTGGCGCCTTCAAGCGGGCCTTGCATCGGGATCTTGAAAAACTCAAAGGCTTTGGTCACAAATGCCCGGAGCTTCGTCGCGTCAATGTTGTCGGGATGCACGAGTGGCGAGTGGTTGGACCGCTTCAGCACGCCTTGTTCGAGCAAGTTCTTGGCCTTGGGCGTCATGACGACGTAGTGAACTTCGCCGCGGTAGTAGACCGCGTTCTCCAAATCGAGACCGCGCTCCTTGAGCTCCCCAAACATTTTCTGGTTGTACTGGTACCCCCACGAAAACTCCGACACTTGGCTCTCCTCGCTACACAAAAAATATCAAAAATGAGTGCGCGCCAACAGGATCGAAGTCGTACCGAGTGCGCGTGTTGGCCACGTAGCCCAAGACGCCGTACGCCGGGCTCGGTGAAAACGCAATGCGCTGAATGTTGGCGAGCGCGCCGACCGTGTCGTACATGCCGCCGGCGCCGACGACCGCGGACACGTGCTGCAGATGCAACGGCAGCGCCGGTGTCGCGTTCACGCAGTAGCCGTCGTCGGTCGCCGTGACGCCATCAAAGCTCGTGTTGCCAACGACTACGGATCCATCTCGATGAGACGTCGCCCATCATACAAGCCGATATACCAGTGACGCCGAGGAGGAGGGCGACCTTGAGCAAAATGCACTGCAGCTGGCGCGTGCCCACATGAAAGTACACGGACGAGGTGCAAAACTAAGCGAGTTGGTGGCGATAAGACACTGGATATTGCCAAAATGAAAGCACGTACTTGGCTGTAAAAGGCCTTGGCGCCGAGGCTCGTGAGGTCGTGGACGACCCACGGAAAGAGGTGCAGAATGTTTTCCCGCGTAAACGACGGCCGCTTCTCGAGGACGACGACTTGCGCGCCGAGGAGCGCGAGCTCGATCGCCGTGCGCAAGCCGACAGGCCCGGCGCCCACAATGCACACACGCTACGCAAGATGAGATGAGACAAGTTGTCAATGGTTTGAACAGGTCGCACCCGCGCCGATGCTGCGTGGCTCTTGTAGAGCGCGTGGGACTTTTGCTTGGCGTCGAGGATCTCAAAAATGCGGCTTTGGCGAAACGTGAGGAGCCGCTTGAGGCCGTGCTATCACAATGCATTCGTGTGGCGAGTGTATCGGAGGCTAGAGATGTACCTTGATAAGCGGGTAGATGGCAATGTCACGCCGACGCGACGTGTCGATCGAGAGACCCTGCACGACTGTCTCAAAGCCGTTCATAATGCCCTCAAAGTCCTAACACATCCTTGTCGTTGGTCGTATTGTCCTACATCTGATAGACAATACCTGGCTGGATTCAAAGCGCACCATCGCGGCCACAAGCGAGTCCTTGAGCGCGTCCGTCATTTGCGTCTTGTGGGCTGCTGTTGGCGCCGGTGTCGCTGGCACGGCAAAGAACGTGTTGGTCTGCATGGGCGCCAGCACAGACTCCATGTTGGACGACGAGGGCGACAGAAGCGGGTCGTCGTCGCTCTCCGAGTCGCTAAAGCATGCTGGCTTGCCAAAGGTGGCTTGCTTGGGCGAGAGCTGCTTCTCGAGCACCGTGTAATCTATCCACAGTATATCCGTTCATATCGTTGGTCTATACCAAAAGATTCTGTACCCGAGAGACCCGAGAGCACCTCAAAGCAGCTCTGGAGGTCCTGCGCGCACGCGCCATACATTTGCGCGATCGTATCGGGCAGCAAATCCGGGAAAAGCTCTGTGAGCGTCGCCACGTGGTCGGGTACATTCGGGTCGACTTGGCGAAGCACTTGCTTGCGGAAGGCGCGGATCTTGGTCGCTTGCTGCACCTGCTGGATCGAGACGGTCGCGTGCTGCCGGTTGCCGACGCTCGCGAGCGCCGACTTGTCAAAGCCGCGGAGCGCCGCGCCAATATGCGCCGGCAACGTCTTGAGCGACAGCATCGTGTCCACGTGGCGCAAGAGCAAGTGCACTTTGGTGGCGGTACCCGCATCGGCGTCGGTCCAGCTGTTGCACGCGACGCGGATCGCGTCGAGCGTCTCGAGCACTTGGGCTTGGAGCGACGCCACCGAGACGGCCGACCGCGCGCGCGGACTCGTCGACGTACTGCGCTTGGCGACGACGAGCGACACGTTCTTGGATGCGCCGTACGTTGGGACCGACACGAGCGTGTCGGCGCCCAAGTGGGTTGGAAAGCTGCTGTCCGAGGCCGATTTGACCAACGACCGGCGGCGCGGCACCGGTGCGGACGCCGGCGGCGGCCACATGAACGACTTGGACAAGCTCGTACGCGGTGCGTCTTCAATCGACGACATCGAGTGACGCGACGCCGTCGGACTGCTCATCGGCGACTCTTCGGACGCACTGTCCTTTTTGCTCAATCGGCGGCGCGAGATCTCGCGGGCGAGCTCTGCGTGCTTGTCCACCGTCGGCGCGCGCACGCTTGTCGGCTCCGTCACCGCGTTCAATGCCGTGTCTGTGCGTGGCGATGGCGGGCGGCGCTCAAAGTTCTTGTAGATGCCAACCCAGCTGAACGCATCCGGCATGATCGTCGCGTCGTTGGCGACCAGGCTCGACAGCACCTACGCACACTGTGATGAGAGCGAATGCCATCGGCAAGGTAGCCTACGCTGCAAAACTGGTCGCGCGGCACGAAGCCGTCGCCCGTGCTGTCCATCTCGGTGATGAGCTGCCACGCCGTCGCCAGCGGGAGGCCGCGCACTGCGCCGGCCACGTCGTCGACGCACACACGGTTGTCCTTGTTGCCTACACACGATGCTTTCCATGAGCATCGAACCGAGTCGCTTCATGCTTGGGACCGTCGAGGTGGGCGAAGAGAAGGTCGAGGGTCCTGTCGTCTGTCATGGCAATCGCCGTCTGGCCGACGTTGCCATTTGGACGCAGAATGCAGGTCGTGCTTCCGGCCATCGCTTGAAATTTCGAAGCCGCATACAAACCCCAAGACAAATGCACGTGCGACGGGGCGGCTTCTAAATTTAGATTCGAAAGCAATGACCCAAGTCAGACGAAGGAGGGCATCCATCGGTTTCGCTGCCAGCTACTTGTTGAAGCTCAAGGGTACAGCGTACAGTGGACCGAGATCCTTGAAGCATCATGGGCGCGGACGACGCAGCTGCGAAGCGCGCGACATTCCTCGCAGCGCCACGCGTCCTCAAATCGTTGCACCTCGGCCGCGACTATGGCAGTGTCCGCGTGCTCGGGTCGCAGGCCGTCAATGCCGCGCCACACGGCGTCCTAAGTGGCCTCTGCGTCCACAGCCTCAACCACACGCTCTTGGTCTGCGACGTGACCCATGCGTGCATCCGAGTGCTGGACGTGCGCTCCCGCGCCGTGCTCCATTCGATCGGCAGCCGCGGCGGCAACCCCGGAAAATTCATCGAGCCCGTCGGTATTGCGTTCAATGCGTTAAACGGCCACTTTGCGGTCTCAGATGCCAAGCTCAACCGGATTCAAGTGTTCTCCGTGCAGTACGAGCTACTCGGGCACTTTGGAAAGCCCGGCGCCCAGGCCGACGAGTTTCAGGCCGTGGCGGGGCTAACTTATACGCCCGATGGGCACCACTTGGTCATTGCAGACAGAGGCAACCACCGCGTCAAGATCGTGACACCGCAAGGTGGTTTCGTGCGGACCATTGGCGGGTTTGGTGACGAGAGCCACCAGTTCAACGTACGTCCCACTCTGGTCCATGGAGCCAGTGGCAGAGTAGGATGTGGTGAGAAGGGTCCGCCTCATCGTCTTCTTTCCACTTCGTGTAGTCACCGTGCGACGTGGCAGTCAACAGGCGCGGTGAGCTCTTTGTCGCCGACCGCGAGAACAATCGGGTCAGCGTCTTCTCGCCCCTCGGCGAGTTCATCCTCTACTGGCTCGTCCCGAGCCCGCACAGCGTCGGCATTGCGACAGAGGATGCAGCCAGTGGCGACGCGGGCGACATTGTGGTCTGCGATGCGCAGCACCTGCGGGTGTTTTCGCAGACGGGGCTGCTCGCTCTCCAAGTGCCACTGGTGGACACGACGGGTGTCGTGTACACCCAGAAACGCTTTCTTCTCACCCAATTGCCATCACTCGTGACATTCTGTGCACCCTACACGTAATCCTACGTCCGCTTGCACCAATCATCATGATTTGACGTGTCCAGGAGCGTGGCCGCCGGCGCGCTCATCATTTTGCCTGTCGCCGCGTTCGAGATGGTCTTGCGTTATCTCTCGTACCAGGATGCGATTCCGCTGCGTCAGACCAACCGGTGCTTCCTCTTTTCTTGGCGTCCTGAGAAAGATGACTGACATGAAAGGTACTGTGTACTAGGTTCTTCCATCGTACATGCAAACATCTCCGCGACACGTGGCAACTCTTCCCGCTCACAATCGGCGAATCGCCGCGGCGCCACTGCGGCGTTCTTGTCGCAAAAGCCTCTGGCCTCAAAGCCATCCATGTCCTCTACGCAAAGTGGGGCGAGCAGTCGTACGCGGCCATTCCCCGGCCCGATATGCACGGGCTCCACTTCGCGTCGTCGTTCCAAAGCGCAATCTGCGAACACTTTGGCCCGATGTTTTGGTTTCAGCACGAGCCGTCGCTACTCATCATCTTTCAGTTCTACGCCGACGCGGACAAAGTGCTTCGGCGCAAGGGCTTTCTCGAGCTCGTCACCGTGCTCACCGAGATCCAGGCCAATGTCCTCGAGTGGCACCACTGCCGCGCGTTTGCAGACGCCCGTCGGTCTGTGCCATTGCGACGAAAACAATCTGTCTCGGGACTCGAGCGACTTGAAGCGGCGCAGAATTACCAGCTCGATACGCTCGTGTCGAAGCTACGATCAATGGTTTAGTGCGCTGAATTGGCAAGCGAATAGACATATCGACCGTGGCGTCGACGGCGCGTTGAGACACCATGTACTCTCAACACTGATACAGTACAGTGTGGCGACAAGTACATCCTATTTTGCTTGCAGAGCTGGCCACCATGTGCGAAACAGCCTGCGAAAGCGCCATTATCCGTCGCCAAAGTTCAATGGACTTGAGCGGAGCCTCGCTGGATCAAAAGCACCACCAAAGCAGCGTCGCGTCCGAGCTATAGGCGGATATGCAGCGAGCTCGATCGGATCACGTGGCGCGCTCAAAGCTAACAATACGACATCGGAGTGATGGTCAAATGGATCTTGCTGTCGTGACGCGATTCCATTGGTCAAAATACAGCCAATAAAGCGTCGCAATGGGTTTTGCGATCGACTCATTCGGCGCGCAGTAGCAACAGCACCGGCAGCGACAGCACCGGCAGCGACAGTCCGGAGCGTCCAGTCGTTCGGCGTACCCGTCGTGGTCTTCGAGTTGAGAAGCATGCCCGATCACCAGAAGATCGTCGTTGT